TGCTCATGTTTAATGGATGGTTTTGTCCTTGGTCTCTTTGTTTCATTTTCTGTCCTGTAAAATGATACTAATAATGCCTTCTCATCTGCAGTAATGTTGTAACAAATTCATTAACTTTTCTGAAGAACTTAGAAAATGATAGTGATGAATACTATAGAAAGCCACATTAGAAATTAATTCCATCTTTGGAAAAGGGCTTGTGTAGCATGTAGTAAATGAGGCATGGACCCAGCACTGGGTACTGAACATAGAACAAAATGTTGAATAGCTGCCCATTAGATGAGCACTCACCCAAAAATAATTCAAGGCACCCTTGATTGTAGTGGTTCATTTTACAGTCTTAATACTCCTTTGTAACATACCTTTTCATATATAACTTTATTACAAATTTATACTAAGCATATTCAATTATTTTTTTTTAATAATTATCAGTGTAATTATATATTCTCACAGAGTTCTAGTGGCACTCAGAAATACTGAAGTGCTTCTGTCTGACCTTTGTTCTTTTGGGAATATTCCGACATTTTTAAAATCACAGTTTTCTTCCAATACAAAAGTTTGAGTATGGGAATCGGTCTGATCCTTGCTGGATGTGAGTATAAAATTTCCATATTAAACCATCTTAACCATATCAAAAGTCATGGACCTTCATTAAAGAAACAGAGTGGTTTCTTGAAAATTAACAGCAATACTAGGGTTAAAGGACTGCTTTGAAATTTATTTTCTTCTTTTAATTAATCATCTTTCTTCACCTAATTATTGTTGTGTTCTCACATGCCTTCATTACTGGTGTTTTGAATTGATTTTAATGACTCTTTTTGACTGTGAAACCAGTGAAGGGCTTTTAAGAAATCAAAATAGAGATGTGAAAAAATAACCCTAAGTCAATAACTCAATAACCCTAAGTCCTTGTTATATTTGACCATTGATGATGTCAGGATGGTATTGTGTTCTTATCTCCTGACATTCTTTTTATACTTTATCCAATGATTTCTTAGACAAAATGAAACAAAATACCTGGAAACAGAAATTAAACTGTAAGACACACACACACACACTCACTGTAATTTGACTTCCAAGAGTCTCTTTCTCTCTGTGTCAATTGAATCTCTTTTCCCTGCTGCTTCTCCCTTGCCTACACTAAGGTGATGGGGCACACACCCTGCCAGGCAAAAATAGGAGGAGTTGAGTTTAATATTAACAAAAAGAAGGCAGCCTACAATACATTTTCCTGGTGAGAACTCTGAAAAGAAGACTCTGCTGCAGGGACACGGTGACTGATGTTTGGCAGTGGGAAGGAAAGCTGTTCTGCCTGCTGGAGTCTGTGGAAGGTGAAGCCTTCTGGAGGAGAGGGAGGTGATATTTCCCTGAGAGCTGCTGAATACATGTGGGGGAAGAGTCTCCTAAGATATAGAATGAAACAGATGGGCAGAGTGAGAAAGGATAGTCAGACAGACAGCAGCAGGATGCAATGGGTCTTCTTTACGATCCCTTTTCATTTGTACTCTCACTTTGCATTTCCCCTTAAATTAGTTCTACTAATTTGTGTTCTAATAAAATCTAACTTTAGAGACTTCCAGAAATTTGGGAACTTAAAGTTAAGAATAGGTTCAGACAAATATTTCTTAAAGTTTTGGCCAACCAGAACATATCCTATGTATGAAAGTGAACATTTTCTCCAAGCTATGAAAGTTCTTCAGCATACTTTTGCAGTCCTCAGAAAGATGGGAAGGAATGCTTACTCAGTGTCAGTTCTTTCATTTGCACCTGACTTAATTTGCACTGTTGAATCACATAACTGCATTGAGGCAGTGTTGTCTGCTTCATTCAAGTCATACACACTTTAGGTATCTTCCCTGAATTAGAATTGTCTATGGAGAGATGTGTTTCTGCTTTGCACCATCCAGTCTGTGGTCAGAGATTTAATGGGTTGTCCTATGGCAGGTCTCTGTGCAATTAAAGGCCATAATTTGTGTTTGTTAGTGCTTCTGAATAGTTTAGTGAAGATCTCTTTTCGGTTTTTAGGGCTGACTTAGTGTAAATTGGGATATTGTGGGTATAAAAGGCTCTCTATATAACTAACCCTTACTGTTTTTTCACAATTTACTCTTTCAAGTGTACTGTAGGTAAAAATGCAGTAAAAAAAAAAGTGTACGTATTTTACTTATTTGTTACAGATAGTAAATTTATGAGAGACCGTGTAGTTTAACATCTTTTATCAATGTAAGGACTTTTCCTGCATTCCTTGAAAAATAAGTTCATATTTTCTTGGCTGTTATCAAGTAAAACATAAATTTAAAATCATGAGAACAAACAATAACAAAACCCAGGAAAAAAAGATTCCTAATGTTTTAAAAGTAAATGACCAATTTTTTTTTAAACTTGTATGCAAAAGAGCTGTTCATTCATATTATGAGGAGGCAAGAGTCCTGTGTCTATTCCGAATTTGGGGTTCTGATGGGACCTTAACTATATATATCTGATTGTTTTTTGAATGATACTCTGCATCTCTGAGAGGACACAATCTGGGCTTAGAAGGCTTTAGCATATTTAAATGGTAATTTGCCATGTCTTGTGAGAAAATCATTGATACTTTGTCCAGTAGGCTTGTCTGTGCTACTTCTTGCATCTTGTAGCCCTTGCTGTAGCCAGAATTTCTGTAGGAGTGCATTCTATGGTGCTGGTCAACCATACCTTTACAAAAAATCTGCAAAGAATCATGCTAAAGCAGTCATCTGTATTTTGCGAGACTCCAAGTTGACGGCATCAGGAGATTTAGTGGATCTGTACATTATCCCCAGCCTTTTGACCTTGCTGCTTGTGATTATTAAAGGATTATTAATCCATTTAATAGGGGTCAATTTCTACTTGCCATCTTTTCCTGTCCTGTTACCTTCAAATATGTTCTGGTGCAATAGTAATCTTACTGTTAAACATGTAGATATGGCACAATAGAGTCAATGAGACTTATTAATTCGATTTCCATAGCCAGATTTGCATAACTTTTCACCTTTGAAGGTCATGGTAATTCCTTTCATGTAACTCATTTGTGGGTCCCTTCCAACTCAAGATATTTTATGATTCTATGAACCTTTATTTTCTACTTTTCCTTCCACACAAAACAAAACAAAAAAAACCCAACCCAACCCAAACCCATTTTCTTTAACTATTAAGACAATAGCATGGACTGTGTTTGTGCTTCATTACCAAAAGGTTTTTTCTCTTTCTATGTCAGCCTTCCCATGAGATACAAGAGTGTTTTTTTTTCAGATGATGTGTTGCTGCAGGAAAGGTGATTGTCAGCAGTAAGGAAACTATTGAGTCCAACAAAAGGCTGACACAGCTTTTTTTTCTGCTTTGACGTAACCTTTCACTCTCTTTGTATTTACTGATTTTGTTTTTATGATCACATAGTTTTTCTTTCTAACGTACTGCTTGTGTGGTGGTGGTGACTAGCAGAATGCCATCAAGACAGGGATCAAAACAGAACTTCAAAATGATTCACTAGGATGTAGCATTAAAGATGAATTGCCACACTTTAACCATATTTTAACATGTATAAAATAATAATCTAATCATGTACTGTTACAGTTCATCTCCTTATTTCCTGTGACAGAGGTTAAAAATAATCTTTTGATCCCTGTAGAACTGTAATGGTCAAAGATTTAGAAGATTTATTCTGTTAGAGCTGAAGATATCTGCCCGTGTAACAGAGCATTCAAGATCCATCCACCACACCCACCTATGATTCACAACTGTTGAACAAGAACCATTTATCTGTTAACACAATTTGCATCTCTGGGGGTTCTACTGATTCCCAACTGTCTGACTGTACTGAACATTTGTTACTGGGATTCTACTTGGCTCCCTCTATGAATTGCAGCATTTCTTGTGACTGTTTTTTTTACTTACATTATGAAGGTGCCGGAAACCCGATTCATCCTCATGAGTCTGCTTCTACCCCTTCCCCCTGCAGAAAAGTCCCTTTTCAGTCATTCCTTGAACTATGACCCAAGTAAGGGTTAATCTCGTTCCTCCAGCTTCAGGAACAAAACAGGATAGCTCAAAACTCACGTCTTCTGCCTTGTCCCAATGTTTTTTGCTCCTTTCAGGAAGGAACATGATTTGGACCATCTGAAGATGACTGTTTCTCTCATCTGCACCTATGCAACTCTAGGGTGTTGTTAGTGTGCAGTGATGGAAACAGAATGCATGGAGCTGCCTGGCAGACTTTGTTCCATTCACAGGTTGAAAGAAAAATGTGTAGAACAAATGCCAGTTGGGAGTGAAATATAATCTTTTTGAGGAATACTGAACAACCACTTGTTTCTCTTGGATGAAACATTTATATCACTTACCAGTTACAAAATCTTTTAAAATTTAGAAAGGAAACACTTGATGATCACGTAATTTCTCTTAAAAGTTCCATTGTGCCATTAAATTATTAGCAATCTTATTTACTGTAATATCATGCCTTCATGCTATATAATTTTAGTGTAGATGCAACTTTTTCCCCCAAATTTTTAAACCTAGTAATTCTAAATTTGTGTTATAGTGATGGAGCGGTGTAAACTATTTATATAACACAGTAAAGCACATGACTATAATAAAGAAATAAATATTTAAATGCATTTTGAACAGAATATTTGAATAATTATTTCAGAATAAAATTAAGGAACTAATAACACTCTAACAACACTTGATACTGTATTTTGGAATAATCACAATGAATGGCTATTTCAAGTTATGTGTAATTTAGTTATTTAGTTGTTTTTTCTTGATTTTATTTTTTTGGTTACTGCTTCACTTAATTTTATTTTTTAATTGCTTCAAGACATTATAGTGAAAATACTTAAGCAGTGAAATGTGTGTGAGTAGTTCTGACTTGTAGATTACTCCATGAATTTTAAAATAAATGTGAATGGTAAATTTTATGTGCTTGCATAATATATAATAATATGTATACACTTTATTATTTTTAATTTTTTTTTTCCCCACAGACAGCCTTTTGATTGACTACCAGTTTACCTTCAGCTTATTACAAGAGGATGACCGCCATCACACTGCCATAAACTTTATAGCAAATCCAGAACAGGTAACAAAATGTTAATAACTTGAGTCAAGTTTTGAAGAGTCATGATTAAGGTTTCCATTGTATTTGACATTGATTACAGGTTTCCCAAGTGTCTACAAAGCTTTAGAGATAGTTCAAATCTTTTTGAGAACTGAAAAATTATTCATGCATGCACTGAGAAAGCTTCCTAAATGGTAGATGTACTTCAGCTCTATCAATACTCTGAAAAATTATCAGTTGGTTTATTTTATTGTTGCTCCCATCAATAAGTTTTAGTATCTTCATGAGATGAAAGGTATATCTTTCAGTTAAGAAATCTTTTTTTAGATGAGAAAAATAATTTTTGGCTTGTGATTAAAATGTAGGTGTTTGCCATCTGTTTTTTTTCTTTCATTTCATAAAGAAAATGATTGTTATTCTTCGCAAAATCTAAAAAGAGAGAATTGCCTTTGGCAATTACCATTTCTATTTATGTTTAAAATTAAAACCGTAAGATAATTAAAAGGTATATTCAGTTATGTGCAATAGAGTTACATGTGCATAGAGTTACATGCAATACATTCTGATAGGTTTTTTAACTTTTTCTCATTTTTTTTTTAATTTAGTCAAATAAAAATTTGGACATATCAATTAATGCATCAAACAACTTCAACCTCAATATTACATGGTCTATTGGTTCTACAGGTGAGAGTGAGTTTTGGTATGATGTTTTTTTCCCATACGATTTCATGATCCTCTAAGTTATTTTAACCTGATTGTCTCTTTGTTGCTAATTTTGATAATAAAACTTTACCAAATGTGTTCTTTTGCCATTATCATTATGCCGTTATTAATTATATTATTTAAACCTCAGATGATAATTTGCAATCTGAATAAAGCTTCATTAATATGTTGACTTTCTCTCCTATTCAATTAAAATTGCTTTGGTGGGAAAAGCTTGTAGCCTATTTAAATTTTTGGAATGACTGTGTTATGAAATGCTGTGATTTTAATTAAGATAAATTGCTTCCTTAGCTACTGCAGAGACTGAGATTTTATTTCTTTGTTTCAGTGTTCAAGCTAAAAATTTAATTATTAACCTTAACATTGATATCCAACAATAAAGTTCTTCTGTGTATGCTGATAAAAGCAGCTGCTTATCTATTTTTTTTCCAACTTTGAACCCCATTACTCTGTTTTGTTTTAAGAAGAGGGAAGAGAAGCTTTATTTAGATGGTTTTTCTGAACTGGTTCTATTGACTTTCTGAAAACACATCCAAGGAGAAGTATGATGCTTAAAATGAAATCATACCAAAAAAATCTTGTTAAAGAAGGTTCGGAGTTTGTCTTAAACTCATGAAATTCTTCATCAATGAAATTCTGAAGTATTTTAGCATACCCTAGTTAGTAAATTTTATTTATTCCTTTATTATAATTTAGCAGAGTCATCCATGTATTTGCAAAACATGATAAATATTTATTAGTAGTTATGTTATTAACGCTTTCATGAACAATTAAAAACTCTACAGCAGCCATGTAAGATGTAGACAAATTCACTTTCAGGTTCTAATGAGCTATGAGTTTTTACTGTAAGAAAAAGTAAATTATAGAGGAAAACTTATTATCTGTTTGGCTGACTATAACAACTTTCTTCTAAAATTCACGTAACTTCTGCCACTTTTGTGATTCATATATAATCTTTTGAAACCAAAATAACAATTTCTGTGAATTCGCTGTATGTATATGGAATATACCTAATGTGCCATGTAAACTATAATAAGGGGATATTAAGTTTTAGAGTGAAGACAACAAAAATAATTAAGAATTGAAGTTTCTTGAACAAATTTACTTTGGCACCTCTAATGATGATTTGTCATAAGTATATATATCTACATCTGGGTTTTTTAAATATTTTTTTAAGCTGGAACAATATCTGGAGAAGAGATTCCCGTTGTTTCTAAGGCTAATATTAAGGAATACAGAGACAGCTTTTCCTGTGAAAAATTTAACTTTCGAAGCAACCCAAACATCACCTTCTATGTCTATGTCAGCAATTTCTCCTGGCCAATCAAAATACAGGTTAGTGGCTGTTTTGTGCTTATAGAGATGTTGTTATTTTAGCTTTACATTGAATTTCATGCTTTTACTCATACAGAAATTATGCAAATAGTATTATTTGCATGCTTTATTTCTGTGTATAAGAGTTATATTGTGATGACAATTATTAACATGATTTTAAAGCCAGGCTGGATGGGGCCTTGAGCAACATGGTCTAGTGGAAGGTGCTGGGCCCATGGCAACGGGGTGAAAACTAGAAGGTCTTTAAGGTCTGTTCCAACTCAAACCATTAAATAATTCTATGCTTTTGTTTTTAGTAGTGAATCAGATTTCGGGCTGTTGCTTTTAAAATCTGAAGTTAAAATTATTGAACATATGTGTTTATTTGTAATATAACTTCAGCATAGGGTATTCAAATATGTATGTACCTAGATATTTGAATGTAATCTTTTGGTAATGATTAGCTTTCTTAGCCTCTGATTTTTTTTAAATGTGGAATGACTGTATCAGATTGCAATATTGCAAACTTCAGTTAAGACTAAGTATGTTTGATTAGAATTTATGTTCTTCTTTGGCTTCACTGGAAGCAATTTCATTCAGTATTTTCTGGAGTACTGAGACACTGTGTAGTGGCAGACTCAAAAAAATCAATGCAATCATGATTCCTCCCTGGCCTCTAAAATTACAACAATATTTATATTTGCCATTACTAGAACTGCATTTGTATCCCCTGCATCAATGAAGGAGCTTGTTATGTGGATAAGGAGCTTTTGACTATAACTCCCTTACAGAATTAATTCTTTAAAATTAAATAGTTAAAATGATAATAAAATTTCATAAGTCCTAGTGATCTGCTCAGGAAACCGAAACAAGCTCAAAATACTTGCCAGTTAACCAGAAATACAAATATTCTACAGATTTCCATTTTGGTGGGAAAAAGCACCCCATGTTTTTTCTAAAATATGGAACCTGATTGATGTGTATATGTATATATATATTTTTTAATATATATATATATGAGATAAAGTCTTGGATTAAAGCAGTCATCTTCTGTGTAATTGTCAGAGAAATGTCATTAATCATAAAATGAATGTTCACTGTGTTACACAGTGTCAAAGGACAAATTTGTGCAGCTTTTTAACATTTATGCATATACTAGTTTATACAAAAAACCCCTGAAGGCTAACTCTTTTACTCCTTCTGCTAGGGGTATTTTTTACACTCTGTCCCACTTTCTAAGGATAGAACAAGTTCAGTGGTCAAATAGCCTTCTTAAACAAACCCGTGAAGCAATTTAAGCTGTAAACGCATCACACACTCCTTTCACCTTTACCATTGGAACGTACCTGTATCATCACATTAACAAACATTGTTAAGGTGGTGTATTCCTAAGATGTGCAGCTCTTTGTCAGATGTTGGCAGATTGCAGCTCCTAGTGCTGTTTCCACTGCAGCATAACACCTTTATGGTAATGTGTTTTAATGCGTGATGAAGGGAATCCCTGATCATTGGTTACATCCTTTCTTTTTTTTTCCCCCCTTCCCTGTTCTGCCATTGTTGCACAGATTTTTTTGTATTTCTTTTTGAAGTACATTGAAATTCATCAGTCTAGACAATTCTGCCTCAGAGGTGGTGGTGCTTGACTATTGTATTCCTTTCCTCTCCTGCTAACTTTTCATAAAAAGATTCTTCCATCTAGAAATTAAGTCACTCAAATTTATTCAGCAGAAAAGGAATGCTAAGGTCCAAATGGGGAAACTGTTTTAGAATGTTAATATTGTCCTCTGTTTTCCTAAATGGATAAGATTATTATTTAACTCTCAACCTTTTTTATGCTGTTATTTGTTCTTTTCCAAGGAAATATCTGAAGTTCAGATTACCCATATATATATTTCTTTTGTTTGGTGCTCTAGCAGTAGATAACATCTTCCAGTGATAAATGGAGTAGGGAGCTTTTCAGAGAAAACAAGTTTCATTTTATGTTAATTTTATGATTCTGCACATAACAGAAATTTAAAAAATATATGGATCTTCCTATGACTTAGGGTTAAGAGAGGGAAGCCATCACAGTCCAGAGGTTGAAGTTTCCAAGGCCAGTACTAAATGGGCTCATGGTTATTTTTTTTATGTTCTTCTACATCTACGTCTTTTAGCATACCAGATTTCACCTGCAAAATATTCAAGTGGTTGATGTTAGTCTATTACTTTCTTAGTATCCATTTAAAGGATGATAATACTTAAAAAAATGATCTTAACTGTTATACTGATGAAAAGATTCTTTGAGAGTCAAGATCCTGCTGACGGATTTGAGTTCTGGATTGTAATGGAGAACTATTTTAGATGATCTCTGAGTTAATTTTCAAATTGTTTTGAAAGCAGTTTCCTCAATTAGCCAACTTTGCCTTTTCATGGTGATTAGAGAGTTGGCTGTGTGTTCTATTGCAGAGTTTTGGATGCCACAGGAGCTGGCCTATGTGTAAGAGGCCTTAGACACTGAACTATTTGCACTGTAGTCCTTTTCACTAAAATGGTCAGAAGCATGAGTCATATCATACTGGGTATAAATGTAGTGATATTTTATATCAACACAGTACTGAAGGCTGTATGTAATCCTGTAGTTTCCATGAGAGGTATTCTGTTCACTGGAATAAGTAAGATAGCACTATGAAATTTGGCACATACTTATTCTCAAAACTTTTGTAGAGAACTAAGTCCTCCAGCACATCTAACGTTTTTCAAATACAGTCTGAGTACTAGTCTTCCATATTTCCATTATTCATCACAACTTGTCGAGAACACATTTTATAAAGAATGAGTTCCTAAGGAAGCAGAAGTAGTGACCTTACTTCCTTTGTAATTGGTATTTGAAGTTGTCTTATTGATATGCATTTCACCACTCTCCTTTGGTGCCTCCTGTTATGCTGGCACTGGAGCTAAGATTACTTGGGTCTTCCATTGGGAAGGTTTGAGTTTTGGAGTTACTGCTCTTACCATTTCATTTTCTAAAGGAGAAGGAGCAGCCCTCCTCATTATACAAGACAGTTTCATTTTCTGTCAAAGTCACCTATATTATCTCTATTTTAGCATTCATTTCTCATCAAGATTTTCATGACTATGAGGAAAAACTATAAATCCCAGCAGGTGATTGTTTATTTGAGTCAATGCCTCACAGTTGCTTCCTCAAGTAGTGTTATTATTCGTGTTACCGATTCAGCAAGCTTGGATTTTTTTTTTTCCAAAATGCTGATCCCTGGTGATTCTAACACAAAATATCTTCTTTTGAAATACAATTTCTTGGTTTTGAAAAAAATGTATGTGGTGATTGTGTCAATAAAAATAGTTCCTTAAGGTGTGCTGATCTGTGATAACTCCACTAGCAACAACCCAGTGACCCATTTTATTGTTGTCACTGGTGATCCTAATCACCTCAGAATACAAGTTCTTCAGCACTGGATAGCAGCGAATTACTTGCCAAACATAGAGACTGTGTAGGAAATTCTCAGTTTCACATGTACTGCTTCTCTCTTTATAAAAATGTACTCTAGGTTCCCATTAGTCCACACCTTTGTGTCTGTGATGGCTGCGGGCACACAGCAGGGTGCTCAGGCAGGGAGAGAACTCTGCAGCCCTGGAGGGAAAACACTGCATTTAAATTTCCTGATGCTAAAAGCATTTTATTTAGCTATAAACTATCTTTTTCCTTCAAGAAAGGAGAAGCAGAAATGTGACATAGCTGCATGAGGGGTCGTTAGAAAGATGGTGATATAGGACATCTTCAGCTTAGAGCTGTTTCCACAAATAGACCTGGGTGTAATATGGGCAGGTACCAGTTTTTTCTCAGAAGTATGTTGTAGTTATATGTTGGCACACAAAGGTTGGATATTTTCTGTTGAATTACTGGAACAGTTTATACCACACTTTTTCTCCATTTTCTGTAAGTAAGAGTTGACTGGAAAGTAAGGATGGATAAAGACCCTTAAGCTTAACTGGCCAGGCTTTCATGAGCACCAGTAGTTTATGCATCTTTTCAGAGGAAGTCTGTATAAAGTTCAAATGTCCAAGTAAGATGACATGATCTATCATCCAGACTTACCATCTCTACTGCCTTTGACAGTCCCAACCCTTTAAGTGTACCATGTCTTATATATCAGTTAAAGAAGACTCCATGAGAAAATGCTGTTGCCTTACACAGACCAGATTTCTAAACAGAATATGTGACAAAGCCACATAACTTGTTTCTGCTCATTTTTATTTTATTTTCAGAGTAGATGTAATTCAGATTCCACTGTTAATGGAATTTGAAGGCTGTAACATTTCTTGAAAAGCAGCAACAGACTGTAGTAGCCAGCACCTCAATAATGGTCAGTAGTCCCTGAAGTAGTAAGCAGTCATAAAGCTTGGGCTTCTGACAGCTATGCAAATATTAATAACAGCAGTCACAATGTGTTCTTCAGTCTCAGGAAACTAATTTTATGGCAAGGGATTGTTGTCATTGAAGATGGTAACAGATGTATTTTATTTTTTTCCTCATTTGCTCTCATATTCTGAGAAGTACTGACTGAATGTGGAAGAAGTAAATACCTTTAAAAAGCTGTCCTGGCTATTTGGCTGATCACTGTCCCAAAAGACAGCAATAGCATTCCTGCTTCTGGATCAGCTGCTTTCATGCACCTCTATCTCTTTATAGCTGTCAAACTTGTAAAGCTGATCTCAACTTGTGCCTGAGCAGCAAAATTTTCTACCAGTTTTAAAGCTGCATCTGGAGATAATAATAACAACTTTTCTACTAGTTATCTCCTTTCCTCCCTAAAGTGTAAATGGAAGATTCACAAGTGTCTGAATTTTAATTGGGAGGGTCATTTTAAATTATAAGTTCAACCTCAGCAGCAAAGCACTCCCTGGCAAAATTAGGTTTGCATTTAATGAAAAAAAATAAATCTTGTTATACGTTTTTGAACATAGCATAGTTAATCTAACATGTTTCCACGGCATAGAACAACTGTTGTAACAGTGAAGGTAGA